CCCCCCCCCCCCGCCTTTTAGGTGCGGAATGTGAGGTGTATTAAATGCCACAAGTGGGGTCATGTAAACACTGATCGAGAATGTCCCTTATTTGGCCTTTCTGGAATTAACGCGAGTTCAGTCTCCAGTGATGGTTCAGGTAGGCAGTGAATGTCTTTTAAAGGTGCTGGTTAGAAATTTTGGGGAACTCATCACGTTTAATTTTAGAAGGTTTAAGTTTATCATACTTCAAAGAGTGGATGAAATGGGGAAAACGCTTCTTTATTCCAAATGTAGGATCCACAATTTCAAGTTAATTATTTCAAATGAGAGAGACTTAATTTTCTAACTAGTAACACATTTAAAAAAGATTCCATAATGAATGTTGCTTTGATTCTATCTGTGGCAAAAATTCAGAAGCTGCTATGAGATTGTTTGTATCAGAATGACAATATTTGTGTCACCAAAAAAAAAAATTAAGGTAATGGATTGTCAAAGACTGTCCCAGTTCAGATTCAGTCAAACTGCTTGGAAAAGCTGGAACATGTCAGTATATCTTTGTTAATCACTTGGGAAAAAAGGAGAGGTTTGGTTTTTTTACATATATAATCATGCTTCTATAAGTGGACAAGCAATCGAAAGCTAGATTTCCAAATGCCTGGTTTCCTTTCAGCTGGCTTCTTGTTGCTTCCTGAACTACTTTTTTTTTTCCTCTGTTAGCTTTCCTGTTACTTGAAGTCACACAGCATTTAGTGTTAGATGAGGTTTAAAGAAGTGGATATAAACATTCAAATTTAATAATTTTTTTGCCTGCAATACTTTGTTTTCTGTAAGTTGACCCAAGTTTGTAACACTTTTAAGATTCTTAAATTGTGGCACATTAAAGAAACACCTGGTAAGATGGGTGAGTCTTCAGACTTGCTGTACTGTGCTTTAAGATCATGTGCCGTGTTGCGTATTCAATTTTGGAGGCACACCATTACAATTGCACACTTGATAACATCTGGTTTTCTTCTGTCTTTCCTCAGGTTATCTATTTTATGTAGTAGCTCTTAGTTTTATTACATATTCAGCCTACCAACCATCTTGCTTTTCAGAATTAGATCACCTAGATATGTCATTGCTTTGAGATGAAGCCTAGAAGACTTAAGTTAAAGCAAATAGTGCCTTTTACAATCCTCTGCTTTTAGGCACTGTCTGATGATTAGACCACTGTATTAGCTATTCTGTAGTTGACATTCTCAGCCTTTCTATTCAGTAGCTTATAACATTAAATCATTTTCTTGCCTCATTCTTACCTTAGAAGAAATTGTGCTTGGAGTGTTCGTTGGTGGTAGAATTATATTGTGCAGCTCTTACATGTCAGATACACTTCTGCGCTGCAGAACTCACTCACTCCTCCCCACCCCCAGTTCAAATTATGTGGGTAAATTTTAGGAGTGTTTGGCTGGGAAAGCGGAAAGTATTTGTACATGCTTGCACAGACTTGAAAATCAACTCCTCATTATTCATAACAGTGTAATATGGACACTTTGCAGTGCCAATATAAGACTAACTGCTTGTTTCAAACCTAAATGAACTAACTATCTAGGTGTAGGCAACGTTTGACTGCTGTGGGTGTTCACATATGGTGAATTTTTCATGAAGGAAAGTGCTGTAAAACTACTTAGATGTTCTCAGACTGTGTCAGTGCCCTCTCATTTTCAGCTCTGGATCTCAGAAGACAGTATGCTATGCTGAGCACAGACTTTTTTATAGGCTGAGGAAGGATTTCAGGGAGTAGGGGTGGGCGACAGATCAGGGTTTGTATATATAATTTGTAAGACACTGTTCTTGGATTTGAATAGTCAGCTGTAATGATACTGCTACTTTCCTTCAGGGAAACTATATGTAAAAACACTCTAGGTAAAGTTTAAAACAATTTGAAGTTCTTGGTTTAATAGCAGATACAAGGCTTATAGGAAGTGGTAATATCATTAATTAGATCATCAGATAAAAGGTTGTCTGTTTTTTCTAACCTCAGGAATACAATCCTTTCATCAACTTTTCTAAAACTTCATCTGATTTAATAACAAGCTAAATTATGCTCCTTTGACGACTTCTGGAAATTCCATGTATGTAAATGAAGCACTACCATTAAGAGAGAACACAAGTTACTGAATTCACTGATTCTCTTAAGAATCATAATTCATCCATGTGGCGTGTTAAAGCTTACATCACATTAAAAAAAAAAAAAAAACCCAAAAAACTGATTGGTTTTAACTAAAACCTGACACCAGTCCTGTGTTGTCTGGGATGGGAGTAAGTAATTGTCTTTGCATTGCTGAGAGTTCTACCCAACTTGTTACAGTGCTGCAGATCTGCGGTTAGCTCTGTAAAATTAACCTGCAACAGGTTTTTACATTTCCTAACAAGACGCTGCAACATTAAAAAGACAAATTCTATCATGTTCTGATCAACACCCCCCAACAATGTAATCTCGTCTTGACCATTTCTGTCTATTGCTCTTTGTTTCCTCTCATTACTTCTACTTAATGCTTTGTTACTAGCCCTAATGCTGAATTGGTATCCACCTCTAAGAACCTTCTTCTGTTCCTCTGTACAACACGTCTCCTCAAGCTCTGCTTCTTCCTGCTTTGCTTTATCAGTAGTTGCATGCACTGCTAAGCTGCTTTTGTGTCTCTAGACTAAATTCCTAATTATTTTCTGATTATTTTATAGTACTGCAAAAGTGTCTGTTGTCACACTGTTCTTATTTAAATTGGCTAGAACTGCAGAAAATACTGCTTTGTAAGGGGCAGGGACTTTTTATGATACCATCTTTTTATGAAACCTTCTGTGTTTCATGAACTGATGATTAGGTTTAAAAAAAACCCCAAAGCACTT